GCTGCTCCTGAGCATGGAGAACAGAGAAAAAACAGTTCATAATTTGCTTGGAGAGATGTACTCCTCTCCCTTGTCTTCAATTTGCTTTCCCCATCCCAAATAAAGTCTCTGTTCCAAAATTTCTGTTTGCATGTCTGTAATATCTTGATATGTGTCTGAGTCAAGACACTTTGAAATGCAAGTACCACACTTTCCGAACAAGCTATAGTTTTCAATTCTAAGAATTTCGAGGAGGAATGAGGGATTCAGACACCAACTGATATGAGATATCCAATGATGCTGCTGATCTCTGATCTACTTCTCTGTTTTATTCATGTTGACCCATTTAGAGTGGATTCACTCCCAAAGACAACTCATATGTGTGAGATAAACAATTGTTGTCAGAGTAGAGTTTACACAGCGGTGGCATCACTAATCTGAGAAACCACACCCTGTTTCTCCAAGTGTTGGAGCTTTATTGAACAGACCCAGATCACACATCTGCATTTTAAGCCCTGAGGTTGTATCAGCTCCATTGAAGTAACACCCCAGTGTGCAATACTCTTTGTCAGTGTTACCCAACCATATCTATTAAAATCAGAATTTCATATACATGAAGTGAGTCTTCAAACACAGAAAGTGCACACAAATAATTTGTCACAATTGCATTTTGAGACATGCACTCCCTTAGGTTTCCTTAAAAATGCAGAGAACCCGATTCTGCCTGTAATATACAGCTTCCAAGGGGTACCAGGAAAAGTGAGGTGAGGGAGAGCATTTCACCAGGAACCCGAGTCCCCATTGGTGCTACAGGAGACGAGGTTCTGACACTAGATCCTTGTGCAGGTTGGAGAGTGAAGACAGGAGACTAGGCTCTGGAAGGAACGGCAACAGGAGCCCTCTTAGATCCTCAGAGCATGTGCTGGGATGGCCGTATCTGTCCCTGCTGCTGCTCTGTCTCCAACTGCCCACTCAACATACACACCACATTTGGGGTTTGAGTTCTTCCTGAGCTTGTCTTCCTCTCTTCCAAGTGGACACACTCGCTGCCCACAGAAGGGGTCTCCATGGGGCCAGTCTAGCATCTAGGTGGGCTGTGATGTGACTCTTCCTCCTGGGGTCTCATCTCTTTCTCTCCCCCAGACACTCACTGACCCTTAGACGCTCATCCAGTGTGTCCTGCAAACGGCCTTCCAGACCTTGAGCACAGAGCCCCAGTGTCAGCCTCTGCATCTACTCTGCACCCAGCAATTTCAGCTTGTGATTCCACAGCACACATCTGAATAAAACTGTGACTATTCAAGCCATGGCTACTCTTCTCAATGGTGGTGACTGGTAGATGCCACAAAGAATCCAACAGTGACAGTAGGAACACACACTTTGCAGAATAAAAGGGGGGGAACAGTGGTCAAATGAGAATATTCACTATTCTTAACAAAAAAATACGATGGGACCAGACACTGCTGTGACCACAACCACAAACAACACCATGTGCAGACCCAGGAGAAGGGAGCAGGTGTCCTCCACGTCCACTCCATGCTGACTCTGAGCAGGTCCCAGCCCCAGACAGAGGGTCTGCCTGTCTGAAGATGAGGCTCAGGGGTCCAGGCAACCTGCTGAGGCCCTGCCCAGCTGGGGAAACACAACATAGAGCTGAGGGAGGACAGAGTGGGTCTGTGTCTGACAAAGACATGGTTCCAGCTTTTCCACCTTATACATAAGGTGAAGCTCATGCACTGAGATTTGGGGTGTGATGGCCAGGTAGCCTTCTTTGACTTCCCGTACCTGCCAAGGACTTAAAGTCATGAGGTCCTTGAACTAATTCTATGGTCCTAATTGTGGCCTGGGCCCAGCTGACCCCATCTCAGGGACAGTTCACCCATCTTTAGGTATCCTGCTAAATTTCTCTTTGTCACTGAAATCCTTCCTTATTTCTCAACTTTCAGTTGCAAAAAATTCCCCCTCCATTCCCCTTCTTCTCTTTTTATTAACTGTAGAATTTCAAACCATCTCCACCTTTGGCTTCAAGAGCACTAATTCCACCTCTGTCCCTACTGTAGAGTCCTGGGCCCTATTTCAACAGTCTTTGAAGAACGATTCTTTGCTATTTCTACAACTTCTCCCATGCAATTTTTCTTTTAAAAAAGGAACCCATATTACTAAGTGAAGTATCCCAAGAATGGAAAAACAAGCACCAGATATATTCTCCAGCAAACTGGTATTAACTGAGTAGCACCTAAGTGGACACATAGGTACTACAGTAATAGGGTATTGGGGAGGGGGGGTGGATATATACATACATAACGAGTGATATGCGCACCATCTGAGGGATGGTCATGCTGGAGACTCAGACTTGTGGGGGGAGGGGGGAAGGGCATTTATTGAAACCTCAAAATCTGTACCCCCATAATATGCCTAAATAAAAAAAAATAAAAATAAAAATAAAAAAAAAAGGAAAGGAAAGGACTGAAAGGATGAATTACATTGGCATTGAAGGGCATTGGCGTTTTGTTGTTGTTATTATTATTTTCTGTTTGTTTGTTTGATGTTCTAAGCTCTGCTTACAACTTGACCAGAACATAAGGGTGAGAAAGTGCTCCTTTGCTTTTCTCCATTCTGAATTTTCCCTTTGCTGCCCAAAGCCCCGTGCCTCCCCAGGGCACTTCCGATCATGGGGAAAGGCTCTGCTCTCTAAAATGGAGTGGAAGCTCCCCCGTCAGCCTCTAGGCACTGTGACCTCCTAGAAGAGGACAGGGACCGGCCCTACTCTTCTTCCCAGCCCTGCACCCCTAATCCCTGTCCTGTTAGAATTCCATCTCTGAGCATCAGGGACAAAGCTCCTGGGCCCTGACCTCACCCGCTGTCCTCCCAGCCTCTCATTCAGCGTCCCTCCTTCCCTGGGCACCAGCACCAATGGGCAGTTATCACGGGGCTGAGTCTCAGGGTGCCCCGGGGGCTGCTGTCCAGGCTGCACCCAGAACAGCCACAGTCTGCCCCTCCTGTCCTTGCCTGCTGCACTGTAGCACCTTTGCATAAGGTCCTCTGGGACTGGCACATTTGACGTGCGCCATGCATGTTAGTTGGAGTCTTTGGATCAAAGTTCAGAAACCACATCAAGCTGTGTCAACATTGTGACTCCCACATCTGGGAGTTTTAAGCAGGAATTCAGGCTTCAGAAAATGCTTGATCCAAGGGCTGAAAGGATGAATTACATTGATAACTTCACTTTCTGTTCCCTTTCTTTCTCTTGATTTTACCCCTGTCACTGTCCTTATATGACATCAAGGTGAATGACAGCCACATGTACATGGCCATGATAGTCGATCATCCTGGGAAAAACTCCTCCTTCCTTCCCTGTTTCTCCAGCAAACTCCAAGGCCACATGCCCTCCCTTGAACCTGCCCCTTAGGGTGTAGGTTTGCACCACGTCTGGGTCCCCCCTGCCTGTGCCTCCCCTGGAGGGATTTAAAACATGAACAGGGCAGAGGTGTCTCCAAGGCAGCCATCTAGTAACCGGTAGCATGTGCCTCCCCCAGGGAGAAGGACCAGAAGAGTCAGCAGATGCTCACATTTCGAACAGATCATCTAAGAGAGAACACTGGGGATCACTAGGGAAACCATGGGAAGCACCCCCTAATGTGGATAAGGAGAGGGTCAGGGCCACTTGACAGCCAGGGACTGGCTAAGAATGGGGAGAAGCTCTCGGACACGGGGAAACAGTCAGAGTGAACCCCCCAGGCTCCCACCCTGAGACGGGCTTTTACGATCTCGGCTACAAGAGCTCCCCCAACCCATGCAGGTCTTGGGCCTAACATGGGGAGCTGCCTAGAGATCGCACGGAGAAGTCGCTCCAGACGGGGACCCACATGGCATTCCACAGGCAGCTTGCCCTGGGCACCACTCCGGCAGCCCAGATCACGGGGAACTGCGGGTGCACCTGCAGCCACTGCCGGGCTCTGAGGAGGGATGCAAGAGCCAGGTGCTACCTTGCACTCCTGGGAAAGACCCCACCACCCTACTGTGAGCTGCTATTGTGACTGAGACGTGAGCAGACAGCATTTTCCAGTCCCTTTCAGTACACAGGCCCCAGATACCACTTTGAGAGTTTGACATCACGCTGCGTTCCTCCCTCAGGCTGAGTTTGGGCTGGTGCAGGGAAACCAGGCCTCTGGGACAGTGGCCCCCAGGCTGCAGCCAGCTGCTGTGCACCAGAGTCCCACGTGAGTGGCACTCCCCACACTCTCCAGCATTGCAGCCTTCCTGGGAAGGGCCCCCACGCTGGTCACAGCCCCAGGGCACCAGCTTGGAGTTTGAAGCAGGGCAGAGCCCACCTTTGGGAGGGGTGCAGGCTGCCACAGCTGAGGAGGGACAGAGGAGCACAAGTTCTCCTACATGCACCTGGGACAGTTCCCACCACCCTGCTGCGGGCTTCTGTGAGACGGGGCCTCAAGCAGACAGCTCCTCAGGTGTGCGGGTGCTCAGCACAGCCTGAGGGGAGCACCTGGGGAGGCTGGATGAGAACCAGATTCCAAATCCTCCTCTGGGCGTATATTGGCATTTTGATCCTAGTCTCCTTAACTATATGTTCACTGGGATATGTAGACCGGGCTTTCCAGGTGCTTTTTATTATTCCCTTGGTCCAGGTGATTCAGCCTCAGCCAACAGCCCAGGCACTGTGGGGTCCATTGCCTCAGGAGTCCTGGAGGAACCAGAGTTTCTTGCTGCCTGGGCTTGGCCAAGGCTGAGCAAGATAGATAAGGGCTCCCTGAGTGGAGCCCCATTGTAACCCCAGCTTCACGCCAAATTTCTCAACTGCCCTGACTGCCAGAGTTCTTTAAAGTACCCAATAGAACTGCACTGCAGCCTGGGATACAGAGAGAGACCCTGTCAAAAAAAAAAAAAAAAAAAGGAAGAAAAAAAGAACCCAATAGAAAATAACCCCACCAAATTATGAAACCTCATCCCAAAGGACCCTTATATAGGGAAGTCTCCTGCTTGTGCCTGGTGGTTGTTGCTACAAGAGGCTTGGGACAGAGGACTGCTGTCTGCTCTCTCCAGTCACCCTCCTAGCCCAAGGATCTGTAAGTAACAAGAAAACTTAAACTTTTACGTTGGGATTTCCTCATTGAAGCCATGCCTACAGTCTGCACCCTGACTGTGAGGCCACCCCAGAGGGACCCAGTAGGTGAATAGCTGGTGCCACCAGCTCATGTTAATAGAGAAACTCAAAGTGTTTTGTTGAAAACACACGGGTCCTGCTTGACATGTCTGATAGAGACTGTAATAGCTGCTTAAAACATTCTTTCATTTATATGTATAATACATATAGAATGTCTAGGAAATAAAGATATATATATATGGAAAGTCTATTCAGGTCCTTGGCCCATTTTTCATTCAGATTATTTGTTCTTTGCTATTTGGTTGTTTGAGTAACATATATTCTGATACTAATACCTTATCCCATGCATGGTTTGCAAATATTTTCTCTGATTTTCTAGGTTGCCTTTTGACTCAGTTGATTGTTTTCTTTGCTGGACATATACTTAATAGTTCACACAATCACACCAGTCTATTTTTCCTTTTATTGCCTGCTCCTTTGGTGTCATCTTCAAGAAATAATTCTATACATCCCAATGTTAAAAAGTTTTATTTCTTACCTGCTGACTTTCTTCAGGAAAAGAAAAAAAAAAAAGAAAAAAAAAGTTTTATTTCTATTGTTCTTCTAGAAGTTTTATGCTTTCAGGTCTTATGTTTAGGTCTTTAATCTGTTCTGAGTTGATTGTTGTATATGGTGTGAGATAAAGTTCTAAATGTAAAATATATCAAATCATAAGGTGGTATACATTAGATAAACAACATTTTTTATTGCCACTCATATATCAATAGAGCTGGAAATAATAAACATATTTTCCATCTTAGACCAATTCTTTACCTATTAATATAACTTACTGAGCTCATTTCACATATTGTCCTCTCTGCACTGGCCCCAGCAGGAGCCTGCTCTCTCTATAGCCCTTCATGAGAGTGGTAAGGCCTTTGGCCCTGCAGGGAATTAACTCTATCCTATCCTGGAGTTCAGGTGCAACAACCGGGGCTAGACCTACAGATAGTAGCAAGCTCCTTGTTTGGAAATCAGAGCCATTTGTTCCCTGAGGTTATGGAATGAAAGCACTGATTATTTTCTTTTGTTAATATTAAAAAGTAATTATTTAAGCAGGTGGGAAACAGGAAAAAAAAAACAACAGTAGTGTCTTTATTACTACTATCATCTCATACTACAGACACTACAGTACAGATTCATACCAGAGTGGCAGCTGGGAGAACAGAGGAACATCTGAGAGACCTTGAGGGCAAAACCTTTCCTCCCCCCCATGACATGCACACCTTCTCTGACTCCAGAGTGACAGGAGGCTTGTTGGTCTCTGCCCCTCCTCCCACAGCCCTGGAAACACAGCTGACTCCTCACTCCACACACTCGCCTCCTGCCCCCCCTGCTCCAGGCGACCCCAGCATGAAGACCCTCGCCCTCCTCGCTGCCCTTCTCCTGCTGGCCCTCCAGGCCCAGGCTGGACCCCTGCAAGAGAGAGATGAGGAGATGCCACTGCAGGAGCTGCCCGTGGCAGAGGACCGGGACGTGTCCATTTCCATCACATGGAATGAAAACTCCATTCCTCAAGCTCCAGGTGAGAGACACCAGCATGGCAGAGCTCCTAGGTCTAGGGCAGAGGGACAGGAGACAGGCTCTGGAATGAGCTCTGCAAGGTCTATGCCACATAGGTGACTTTATTTAACATGGACAGGCATTGAGTTTCTTATCTATACATTCAACACACAGACCCAAATAAATGTAAGAGATCTTCTTTCTCCGAAGTCTTTTGATTCCAAGATGGCCGTGACATAGTTTAAAGATATAGAGAGACCTGCTGATTCATTCTTTGTGGATTTAAAAGAGTAGATTTACTTATAGGGACAAGATTTGACTCTATTTATAGAAGTGCTCTTAGAAATTGTAGACTGGCCTGGGGTGTGGTCAGATGCATGTGTGACGTGGACCGAAACACATAAGAGTAAGGACTACTGACAATGTGTGTGTACCCCTGCGTGTGACCCGCTCTGCTGTGTGCATTTATTCCTGTAGATTGAGGCTGTTCATACCCCAGATGTCATGTAGCCAGCATTGCACATTAGCCAGCATGTGACTTCTCCAGAATTCCCTTCATCATCTCTGCTGACCCGGGACTGAGTTTCTGATGTTCTGTGTCCACATGTTTAGTGAGAAGCATGGCCTGTGCTTGCCGAAGACCAGCTTGCCTTGCAGGGGAAACTCGCCTTGGGACCTGCCACTTTGGTAACAATGTCTTTGTGTTTTGCTGCTGAGTGTGGAGAAGAGAGAAAAGGCAGCTCCTCATTTGCTTGGAGACCTCCAGGGCATTGCTGTTACTCTTCTACCTTGTCCTCAATTTCCTTTCCTGGTCTGAAATAAAGTCCTTTTGCAAAGACTTCTGTTTGCACCTCTTTTGCATACGATATATGGCTGGTAAAGACATATTAGAATCCAGGTATCAAAAACGTAAATCAAGCTCTTTGAACAAAATACAGCTTCAAATTCTAGGACTTTCAAGGGCGAACTGTGGGTTCAGACACACATTGATATGGAAGTGCAAATGATGCTGCTGATATCTGTATCTCCTCTGTCGTTTCATGTGACGCCTTTAGAGTGGATTCCCTCTCAAGGACACCTCCCGTGTTTTAGGCAAACAATCATCATCAGATTAAAGTGTACACCGTCATGGCATCAGTAATTCTGAGGAAAAGCACACCCTGCTTCCCCAAGTGTTGGAGTTTCATTGAACAGGCCCAGGTCACATATCTGTCTCCTAAGGTCTGGGTTGTATCAGCTCCACTGAAACAACTTTAAATAAAGTGGGAAAAAATGCATGATGAGTAGAACAAAAGCACAAAAACACCTTACTAGGATGTACTCATTGTCAATATTATCCAGCCATAAACACTAAAATCTGGATTTCACATCCATAAAGTGGGTCTTCACGCACATAAAATACACAATAATACACAAATAATTCTTCAATTACACTTGCGACATGCACTCTCTTGGGTTTCCTTAAAATTGCAGAAAACCTGATTCTGCCTGTAATATACAACTTCCCAAATGTACCAGGAAAAGCGAGGTGAGGGAGAGCATTTCACCAGGAACCTGAGTCCCCATTGGTGCTGCAGGAGCTGGGGTTCTGACACCAGATCCTTGTGCAGGTTGGAGAGTGAAGACAGGAGACTAGGCTCTGGAAGGAACGGCAACAGGAGCCCTCTTAGATCCTCAGAGTATGTGCCGGGATGGCCGTATCTGTCCCTGCTGCTCTGTCTCCAACTGCCCACCCAACATACACACCACATTTGGGGTTTGAGTTCTTCCTGAGCTTGTCTGCCTCTCTTCCAAGTGGACACGCTCACTGCCCACACCTGGGGTCTCCATGGGGCCAGTCTGGCATCTAGGTGGGCTGTGATGTGACTCCTCCTCCTGGCTCTCGTCTCTTTCTCTCCCCCAGACACTCACTGACCCTTGGACACTCGTCCAGTGTGTCCTGCAAACGGCCTTCCAGGCCCTGAGCACAGAGCCCCAGGGAGGAGTCCGGCGTCAGCCTCTGCATCTACTCTGCAGCCAGCAGTTTCAGCTTGTGATTCCACAGCACATGTCTGAAAATAAAACTGTGTCTGTACAAGCCATGGCCACTCTTATCAGTGTGGACCCTGGCACAGTGCCCCAAGGAGTCCAAAAGTGACAGAAAGACCACAGTTTGCAAAGAAAGAGGATAGAGGTAAAATGGGAATATTTACCACGATTGACTCAATCTGCTGGGCCCAGACACTGAGGAGACCACCAACACCACCAGCAACTGCCCAGACCCGGGAGAAGGGAGCAGGTGTCCGCCACGGCCACTCCATGCTGACTCTGAGCCAGTCTCAGCCCCAGATACAGGGTCTGCCTGTCTGAAGACACAGCCCAGTGGTGTAGGCACCCCGCTGAGACCCTGCCCCACTTGGGAAACACAACACAGAGCTGAGGGAGGACAGAGTGGGTCTGTGTTTGACAAAGAAGTGGTCCCAGCTGCTCTCCCTTGTGTAGAGGTGAAAATGACATATTGGGATCAAGGTGTCAAGGCCAGACAGCCTTCTGTACCTGCCACTGCTGTGAAGTCATGAAACCCCTGAACTAACAGTATCATCCTAACTGTGCCCTGGGCCAGGCTGACCCCATATCAAGGCATCTGCACTTCACCCAGAAGGACACCTGGCTCCCTCCCCCAGTTCCTGGGGTCTTGGCTACAATTTCACTTTGTCCCTGTGGCTTTGCCTGATTTCTCAACTGAAAATTGCAACCAGTTTCCCCCGGGACCTCCAGCCCCCATCTTCCCTTTGCTTCCAACTGTAGAATTTCAACACATCTCACACTCTATACATTTGACTATTTACTTTCTGTAACATTCGTCTCCCTATACCAGGAGGGAGCTGCATGTTTTGTGCATCATTTTACCACATTGTCTACATTAGTGTCTTACACAAGTGATCAATAAATCAATTTTGATTCATTCGATTAATGATATCAAACATCACAGAATGGCAGAAAATTATATTATTATTACTAAACTGTACCTAAAATACCTGAAACCTACAGAGGTAAAGCAGTCCAGGTATCTAAGTCATGTGACAGCCACCTTTAAAAAAAACAATAAAAATCATCGGAGACTATGTCATCGGAGAATATCACGGATACAGTGTGGCTTCATGAAGCATTGGGACTTTCAAAAGAAGAAGCCATTGTGGATGCAGTGGCAAGGAAGTGTAACATGGTGAATTTCAAATTTAAACATAAAAATGTTTCTGAGTTGCATGCAGTGAAAGAAGGAATAGAGCAGTCATTTTGGTAGAAAGAACGGTACCAGGGCAGGAGGGTGAGAATCCTCCTGGGCAGGGTGAGAATCTAATACCACGGATTTAGAGAAACTGATCTTGCCAGAGGGAAAGATGGAATAGAATTCCGGGCTGATATGCTCAGAAGCATCTCTCCATTTAAGGGGAAGGGGCAGAAGAGAGACGGAACATCCTTTTTCACGCAGGGTCCACAAAGGCTGGCCGGCAGCATCACATTTGGCTTTTGCTACTGCAGTCTAGGTTGGGCTATGAGAGATGCAAACCCTACGACAGACATAGGGGGAGACGTGTGAAGGTCACCAAACATCCAAGACAGCTCACTCAGCCTAAAGTAGTGCCCAACACTGATGACCGAAATGCACATCCTCTCTGTTTACCGAAGACCTACAAGACATTTTCTACCTTAAATAAGCAGCTCCTACGGTGGGCCAAGAAAATAAAAAATAAGTCTGACATGGAAATGTGATTATCCTCAGAGATGAACCCCTGCCCCACCTTAGGCGTCCGTGGCGTGGCTTTGAAGCCGCATAGACCTTGGACAGATGGAAGGGCAAAGACAAGATCTGGGCTCTGGTTCGGAAGTCTTGGATTCATTCAACAGCTCCGTCTCCACGACGCTGCTCCCATTCCCAAGTTCTCATGTTCAAAATGACGAGGTGTGTCTGTGACATGTCTAGGAAACGTCCCAGCCCCAATTTCTGTTCCCAACTCCTTGGCCATTCCCCGTCCCACAGTCTGCAGGACCCACGTGTGGTCCTATTGGAAGTTTCTCACCCTTTTCCTCCTTAACACCATTCTCCACTCTTGGAATCTGTGGTCTGACCTCTCTCTCGTCCCCAATCTTATTCTTCCTTCAAGGAGGACATGAAACCTTGGCCGCTCCACCCTGTCACTTGGCTGGAATCATGCACTGACGTGGGACACTTCCTCTGTCATGGTCTTTCATCCACATGAGCTTCCCAAAGCCATAAACTGCTGGAGTCATTTGAAAATAGGATTGAGACCTGGGTTCCAGTCTAGTTCTCTTAAATGCTTGCCTTTTATCCCCAAATGCAACACTCAAATCCTGTGGAGTTCAGTCTCGTCTCCTGTAAAGTGAGAGCACAAGTGTGTCCCGACCACTCATGGTGGGAGGAAGACATCCTTGTGTCACTGCGTAGAAGTGGCATTAAATGGATAGCTGCTGTATGCCAGGAAGTCTTCTCAGGATATATGCAAGCATTTACTGTACTCATATGAGCTGATATTGATTGATTGCCAAGAACTTTTCTTCCAACATGATAAAAAATTTCCATGTTTACTATGTCCCTACCTGTCATTAACCAATTTTTTTACAGGTGGGAAAATAAATGTTTTTTTTTTCTAGACAGAGTCTCACTCTGTTGCCTGGGCTAGAGTGCCATGGTGTCAGTCTAGCTCACAGCAACCTCAAATTCCTGGGCTCACGCGATCCTTCTGCCTCAGCCTCCCAGGTAGCTGAGACTACAGGCACAAGCTACCGTGCCCAGCTAATTTTTTCTATTTTTAACTGTTTGGCTAATTTCTTTCTATTTTTATAGTAGAGACAGAGTCTCGCTCTTGCTCAGGCTGGTCCCTAACTCCTGAGCTCAAGCAATCCTCCCGACTCGGCCTGCCAAAGTGCTAGGATTCCAGACGTGGGAAAATAACTCTTAAACAGGTTAATTCCCTTACTCAAAGTCAAAAAAGATTAAGCAACAAGCTGATGGCAAATCCCATATATTTGACCACTATTTTATTCCCTCCTCTAAGTTTTCTGAAATCTACAGTGCTAGATGCTGGAAGCAGTGACAGTTACTTGGTAGTTCTGAGGCCGGAGCTTGACAGACGCTGACAGTCAGCACATTTGTTAAGTGAGGATCTTCCGTGGGTATCACAGCCTCCCCTTGGGGTATGCTTTTGTAAATCCACTCGTGGGAGTTGATGTGAGGCTTTGCGCGTTTATCACACAGTGTGGACAGGGGCATTCCACGGGTCATCTGCCCCTTCCCCTTGAATTGACAGAGCACATCAGCTTGCATTCTATGCCATCCTTGTCTCTCACATTAGTCCCTCCAAATTCAGTGGAGTTAGACCTTATCTGCACAAAGTTCCTGTCCTGAAACCACTTTCTCTACGTAAAATGATGCTGTGCCCCTTCTTTGAATGTATCCAAGCTTTAAACTTCTTATATGTTATATTTTAAGATTCACCATAAAATCCACTCCAGCCACTTTCTACTTTCTAAACTCCTAGAACTTCCCTAGAACTTACCCATGATATTCTCCTATAATATAGAATTCAATGATTTTTGTTAATATTTTACAGGTAGCTGTCACATGAAGTAGACACATGGACTGCTTTACCTCTGTAGGTGTCAGAAGTTTTCTGTGCAGTTCAGTAATAATAATGTAATTTTCTGTCATATGATGTATGACATCATTAATCGAATGAAAATGAAATTATTGATCACCTAAAATGTATTAGGCAATTATCTTGGCGCTGTGGTACAAGGACAAGGAAAGCCTG